AATCTTTATTGTTTGTCGCCTAATGGCTTTAATAAGTTAAATAAAACTGCCATGTTAGTATACAAAATTGCTGCTGAGGAAAGTATGCGAAAAGCTGCTTTTGAAACCAAATCAATAAACAACTCTCTTGAAATGAAAGAAGTTAGAATTTCTATTGATGGTTCATGGCAAAAGCGAGGTCATAATTCGTTGAATGGTGTTGTAACTGCTGTTTGTAGTGATAAATGTATTGATGCAGAGATATTTACCAAACATTGCAATGGATGTAAAATGTGGAGATCTAAAAAAGGAACTCCAGAGTATCAGTGTTGGTTGGTTGATCACCAGTGTGAATCGAATCACAAGGGTTCATCGGGTAGTATGGAATCTGTAGGAGCTGTGGCTATGAGATCTTTACAAAAAAATAAGTTGATATATAAAGAATATCTAGGAGATGGGGATACATCTTCTTTTAATGATGTAATAGAAGCAGATCCTTACAAAGAGTATGGTATTATGCCTGTAAAACTGGAATGTGTTGGACATGTTCAAAAACGGTTAGGAACACGTCTACGAAACCTTGTCAAATCCCAAAAAGGTACTAAAAAACTAATATCAGGCAGAGGTAAACTCACTGAAAACTGCATTAATTCAATGCAAAATTTCTATGGTCTTGCAATCAGATCTAATGTGGGAAACTTGTATTCAATGAAAAAAGCAGTTTATGCCATACTTTTCCATTTCACCAATTTTCCTGATTCCTACACACGCCACCAGTTTTGTCCTCGTGGAAAATATAGTTGGTGCAAATACTGGGCTCTAAATCAAAAGAATTATAAACCCAAATCTACCATACCTCTGTGAATAAAAGATTTAATTCTACCAATAATTATAAATTTACAATCAGATGAATTGTTATCAAAATGTTTACATGGAAACACACAAAATGCTAACAAGGCACCTAATGGACTTATTTGGGCTCGTGTACCAAAAAGAGTTTTTGTTTCTAAATCAACACTGGAAATAAGAACGTATTCAGCTATTTTAGCATACAATGATGGTGCAAAGGGTGTTATTAGTGTTTTTAGACATTTTGGTTTACATGGTAAGGTATCAAATATTTCAGCGACTTCTAAAAATAAAAAAAGGATTAGTCAAATGAGGTGCAAGTCATCAGAGGAGGGGAAAAAAAGAAGAGAAACTCTTAGAGCCATTAAAAAAGGTCACCTAGATGAGGAGAAAGCAAAAGAATGTAATGACAGTTATGTTTCAGGAGGATTTTAAATTAATATTGTAAATATTATATCAAGAATTTTTCAATGCTGTTTATCTCAGTTCGCGTTTTTTTATTTTTGCTTAAACTTCAAAACACAGTTTCTTGAGTTAGCATTGTTCATTTGATCTGAAATTTTCAGTACTTGCTCGAAATACCTATAAAATTCATTTAACAGATGGATTTTTTTTTATGATCAGTAATTTTTTTTTTTTTTAGTCAGATCTCTCCTAAAACGTCAAAAAATAAATAAAATATGAGGAAAAACTACATAACTCATCATTTACTTTGATATTTATTAAATGTCTATCTGTTAAATGGAATAAAATAGTGTTGAGAGTAAGTGTACAAAATTTCAGGTCATATAATGATGGCTAGCCTTAGATATTATGTTTTGAAATTTAGTCCAAAAACGCATTTTTTAATAGTTTTTCCGCCATTATGGTCCTAATGCTAATTAAAAAAAAAAATTTTTTTTTGCTTTTTTTTATTTAAATCATTTGAGTAAACTGTATTTAAAAGCATTTTTATTTTGGAGGTTTATTTCATTTTTTTATTTATTTGGTGTTGTACCACCTTAAGAATAAAAATTCTTAGAACAAGAAAAAAATTCTTGTTTTAAGAATAAAAATTCTTGAAACGAGAAAAAAATTCTTGTTTTAAGAATAAAAGTTCTTGAAACAAGAAAAAATATTTTACGTGGCGGACAAGTCATTTTTTTTTTTTTTTTTTTTTTTTTTTTTTTTTTTTTTTTTTTTTTTTTTTGCTTAAAACAAGAATTTTGGATTTTGCTGTGTTGTAAATGTAAATAATATAAATATTTTTTTTTCTTGAGGCTTTCAAAAAGTTTAGCGTAATTTTTATATATAATTTTATTTTAATTTGTTTTAGATTTTAAGTAATTAATGTATAATTTTTGTTTAATTTTTGAAGACTTCCGCAAACCCTTTGTAATCCAAGGCGATCTAATACTTTTAGCTTTAAGATTTAAATTAACTTTAGGGAAATTAGTGTCGTAAATATCATAGAAAGTTTTAAAAAAGAAGTTATAAACTAAGTTTGTATCATCAGAGGTGTTAATAATGCTCCAATCAATTAGAGATAATTGTTCCTTAAAAGATTTAAGGTTTTAAAACCACTTAAAAGATATAAGCTTTTAAAACCACGCATGCAGAGAAATAGATAAACTAAATAGAGTTGATTATCCTATGTATAAAAATAATATATTCCCTAATTTTACAAGATATTTTTTTGTCAACCTTCCCAGTGGGCACGGAAGTAAAAAAGGACGTCTTTTAAACGTCTTATACACGTTTTAGACGTTTTCTGAACGTCATTTGAACGTTTTGGACGTATTTTAAACGTTTAAAAGACGTCTTTTTTACTTCCGTGCCCACTGGGTTTTTGCAAAGGTATTTGAAACCTTTTTGCAAAGGTATTCGTCAACTTTTTTTGCCAAGGTTTATTAAGAAAATAATTATTGACACCGTTTGAACGCAAGATATATATATATATATCTTGCGTTCACGTCAGGGTTAGGGTTCAAACGCAAGATGTATACATTTTTGACACCGTTTAAACGGTGTCAATAATTATTTTCTTAATAAAACTAAAGCACGGGATTCACAGTTTTTAACTATGTAAGGCCTCAAGGAATGGTTGTTGCGTCTTAAAAGGTTTCTTTGTAGCATTGAATTTTCAACAAGGAAAACAAAAGTACACCGGGTTTAACAAAATGATTATCTTAGACATAGTTCAAAACGTAGAAGACAATCTTCACAACCTGAAAACATTTTTCTAACTCCTTCAACTCAATTAATTAAAATTTACCTTTAATTAATTGAGTTAAGGCTTTTGACCTCAAATTGATCAACATTGTCCTTGAATTATCTGAAAGTAAGTACCTTATTTCTTTATCCTGACTTGATATGCAATATAAATTTTAAAAAGCAATATCTATAAGTTATTTTCTAAAATAAAGGGTTAGGGTGAAAAATACTCGTATTGCTATTGCGATAGACCAATGGATGAAAAAGAAGTTCTACGGACTTTTGTATCTCTAGCAGACTAATTCGTAAAATACCAATTTGATAAAAAACATCGTATACACATACAATATTTTAAAATTGTTACTAATTATCCATGTCTGTTAGATGCAAAGTTGAGTGATGAAATTATCAACAAAATTCCACTACCTAAATAACATATTTATCAACAACATGCCAGTAAAGTTGTTAATCTCTTCTTCACTGATATAATTTCTATAAAAGTTTCGTGAAAAGGAAACGGTTGTTAGGCATGACTATAATGGTGGTGGTTTTGATGGACCTAATTGTATAAATTTTTAAGATCTTTAGACGAAATGACACTTTATTCTCCAATTAAATATTTGAAGTGTATTGAAACCCTGAGAAGGTTTAAAGAAAATACTTGACTACTTTTTAAATTGTTTTCAACATTTCTTATAAAGTTTTTAATTCAATTAGCACAAATAGGGGACTTTTGACCTACCACTCTACATATAATTAATAAGCTAATGCTATATTTTCAGCAAGCTAATATTTTGTTAATTTTTGTTTGATTTAGTTGCTGAGTGCTATTTTGAAATGAAACTCGATATATCCAACAAAACGAAAATAGATAAGCCTGAGGAGTCTATACTTCACTTAAAAATATGTAGAAACTTGACATAACCAGGTTTAATCTCAAAGAGTATCTCATTAGGCAAAAGATTTCGCTCGGTGTTACATAAGAACAAACATCTGAGTCAGTTCATAAAAACTTAAACAAGACACTGAAAAAAGGTTCAATCTGTCTGAGAAAAACATCCATCACTTTTATAGGTGTTGTTCAATAACATTTTAATAATGTTTTTCAAGAAAATCACGGCTCTAATTTTTGTCAAATATCTTCCGGTTGCCAGTTTGTGCGTGTTTTCAAACTCGCAGTCATAGTAAGTGGAAATCATGTGAAAATAACTATAAAATTTTTATGACTAATCATACCAAAAGTTTTCTGCGAGTGATTATCAGTAAAGACATATTGCTCTAAACGTGAATTTGATTAATAAGAAAACAAGCGAATAGATTGCTATATACCTCATCCTAGCATCCTAGCGCTATATATAGGATCGCTATATATAGGAAGAGGTCATCCTAACATTTTTTAATTATATCTTGAGATTATACTCTCATTTCAAACTGCAGAAAAATTATTACAAAAATGTACACTCCAATTATAATTATACTCCTGAATACAAACTATTTATTAAAATACTAAAAATCTATAAGTAAAATAATTTTTCAATTTAAAATTTTGTAAAAAACCAGCATTAAAAATCTCTGAAAATAGTTTAAAGAAACTATAAAGTATGGGTAATCTAATTAGAAAATAAAATAAAAGGCATATTCTTCTTAGAATATGGTGCTATGAAAAACACTTTAAATTGGCTTGTAGTTCTTTAAACCTCGTTGAAGGAAGTCTTTAAGTACAGCCAGTCAATACTTTAAAAACAAAATTATAAAATTACTACTGTCCTATTAATTTATAATAGATGTAATATTTTTATTCAGTTTGTAAATTTTAATTCATAAATCTACACACCTTGTAATTTACATAGCTTGTTGAATGGCCTAACTTTAGATATGTTGTGGACTAGATAGCTAACCTTAGGCTTAACTTAATCTTAAACCAATAGAATAACTTAATTTTAAACCATTAGAATAATTTAACCTTAAACCATTAGAACTACTATATAGATTAGTTTATTCAGAAATCAAATTTTACAAAAAATGTTATAAAATTTAACGGAGCTCGGCGCCAGGCTTTGCTATGCTGACATATCTGATCCATATAGTACTATTATTTGTGAGTGTTCTGATGCTGCAATTTTGACTTGATAATATTAACAGATTTTGAGTTTATGGTGTTGCTGGAAAGTGCATTCCATGATGCACAAACACGATTTGTAAAAAAGTTGTCTCTTTAAACAGTTTTTGACTCGCTGCGGTTGAAGCATAAACTCATGGTTCCGCCTTAGGTTGTATGACGCTGATTTGGAAAAGGGGTAACGTTTTGGTACATAGAAATCTACTTGTTCAAGATTTTGATTGATTTTGAATTGTTCTATAAGATCCACTCTTTTCCTCCTCGCTTCTAGTGTTGTCAGTCCAAGTGCTTCTAACCTTTGTTCATAGTTATGGTGTTTCAAGGAGTTTATTAATTTTATTGCACGATGTTGAATTTGTTGATATCGTTAATACGGTGTGGTGACCAGGCTTGAATTGCAACTCTAGATGAGGTCGAATATATGAAGTGTATAATATTTTCCCGAGGAATACACCGCATCCTCAGAATGCTTTTTTTAGCACACCTAATTTCCAATTAGTTTTTGCTACTGCTGCATCACCTTGTGATTTTAATTTCAAATCATCAGACACAAAAATTCCAAGGTCACACTCAACTATAATACATTTTAATTGATGACGAAATCCATCTTGGCCTAAAATTGTGTAATTATGAATTTATTTATTTTTTTTGCGACCAACATACATAACCTTACATCTACACTTTAATTTATATATACATCTACATTTAATATACATCCACATTTTAATTTATTCCTATAAATAGAAAGCATAACATTAGAAAAGGTGTCTTCTTATTGATATTTCTATAACAGATAAGATCAAAACTAAAAGACATTATTTTTATATTTTGAATATGCTATCTTCTTCATGAAGATTACATGAAAATATCTTAAAATTATATAAATAAAAGCCAAGTTTAAAAAAATATATTAACCATTAATTAATGGTTAATATATTTTTTTAGAAAATTTTTTCATTTTAATTATATCTTTTTTGGTGATGATGATGATAGTTTAATTTCTGAAAATATTTTTTTATTTTGATTATATCTTGATTTCAGAAATTATTTTTATTCATATATGAATAAAAATAATTTCTGAAATCAAGATATAGTCAAAGCGAAAAAGAATTTTCAGAAATGAAACTATCATCACCAAAAAACAAATGCTTGTATATTCTTTTTAATACTTACCAGAACAAATTTTTTTAATAAAAAGTCATACAACTAAGCAGCTTTGCAAGTCACAATGCTTGCAGTACCAACTTTAAAAGTCATTACATCTGTGGTACCTTTTTTGAAATTTAAAATACTTGCTTGGGTATTTTATATATCATGGCTTTACTTAGATATCCTAAACCCAAACATCAAGGTTTATAATAATTTGATACCTTGTATCAGATTATTGTAATATGATACAAGTAATGATACCTTATATCAGATGTTTATAAACTTTGAAAAACAAACAAAATGCACTTGTTTTTGCACGTAAAACATTTAAATTAATGAAAATAAATGATAGAAACAGTTTCTTTTAAAGATGTTTACCAATATATATATATATATATATATATATATATATATATATAATATATATATATATATATATATATATATATATATATATATATATATATATATATATATATATATATTGCGAGGTTAGAATTATTTTGTTCTATCTCCACTTTTTGAAAAAAATGAGTTATTAATTGTGTAATGTACCTCAAAATAATGTTTTTCTACTATATTAAAACCTAAGTTAAAATCAAAAAAGTTTCGGAGAAAAATTAAATGATAAAAATCTTTTTATATGCCGTCTCCTAATGTTTTTATTTTTTAAATCGTTTTATCTCGAAACAAAAAAATGTGGAGATAGAACAAAATAATTCTAACCTCGTAGTTTTAAAAAGCGCGTTAATAAACCAGACCAGAAAAAATTTAAAAACTTAATTTTTTTTTAAATGATAGACTGCCTGCCCAAACCAAACCCTCAGTCGATGTAGCAGCACTCCCTTGCGAGTCAGGCTATTTGTCAGTCGTTGTAGCAGCACTCCCTTGCGAGTCAGGCTATTTGTCAGTCGTTGTAGCAGCACTCCCTTGCGAGTCAGGCTATTTGTCAGTCGATTTGTCAGTCGATGTAGTATATAAATATATATATATATATATATATATATATATATATATATATATATATATATATATATATATATATATATATATATATATATATATATATATATATATATATATATGTATATATATATATATATATATATATATATATATATATATATATATATATATATATATATATATATATATATGTATATATATATATATATATATATATATATATATATATATATATATATATACATATATATATATATATATATATATATATATATATATATATATATATACATATATATATATATATATATATATATATATATATATATATATATATATATATATATATATATATATATATATATATATATATATATATATATATATATATATATATATATATATATATATATATATATATATATATGTATATATATATATGAAAAGTTATTAATAGAAAAATTTGAGTTTGTAAAAATAGAAAATTCTGTAAACACTTCAGTTCATTGCTAATATAATGTAACAGTATATTTAAGCAGTCTGTTTAAATATACTAATTATAATTCCTAAAATACTTTTATGTAGCTGTTTATATTTTTTATTCACAGTAATACCAGTCATTACATTCCTGGAAGTCTTTCGATTTAAACATTAAATCGCAACTATTATTGCGCTAATATTTATTTAAATGAAAATATTTTGCTTAAAATCTCTGAAATTAGAGCTCAGGGGCAGGAATACCTCAGAAAAACACCTCCTGGGTTCCCTAGGTTGAGGGAAATTATTTTTTGAAAGAAAAAGCTTTTATCTTAAGTACAATTGTAAATTGGATTTAAGATAAATTGTCCATGTGTAACTAGGTTTCAAGTTTTATCAGTATAGACTTTTGCACTCAAAAGATACGGCCACATAAAGTTTAAGATCATTTTACATTTTTTTAAGGTTTTAAGTGTTTAGAAAAAAGTTAAAAAAATGTAAAAAGACACGGTTATTAATTCGTTATCAACGGTTTCTATTTCCTGTCAACCTGGTGAAAAGTATGGTTAAAAAAATCTGAAGTAAATTTAACTTTAACTGAAAACTTTTAAAAAAGAGCAGTGAACAGAAAAATGATTTATTTTTCAAAAACTATCAGCTGGTTGTCAATAGAATATCTTTTTAAATTATTACCATAGTTATTCAAAAAATTTAAGAAGTTTTCTTAAATGTCAAACGGAATTCTATTTTGATTTAGAGATAAAATTAGGTTTCTTGTATTGTTCCGGACAATTTTTATCTATTCAAATGTCAGTTTTTAGTTTTAACTAGGGTTGTTGATGGGTCGGGTCTGGGTATCAACCAACCTGGACCCAGATCCGGATCAACCGACCCGGACCCAGATCCGGATCTACCCACATCCATACCCGATTTACTTTACGGGTCTGGGTTCAGACCCACCCCGTTCGTGCTAAACAAAACAAAACAGTGGGTAGCATTACTGAGTGTGAGAAATTGAGTAAGTGTATCATCATGACCGCAAACATTTAAGGTCTAATTGAAGTAGTTGTTCTCAGCTTTTATTAATAAAAATACTTAAAAATTACAGGTGGAATGTAAGAAGTGAACTTGAAATTTGAAGTCATACTTCAATTTTGAAATTTGACATGAGCAAATCCAAACTTGAGCAAACTTGAACTCAAGCCTAACTTGAAAAGCAGCCGTTTTCAAGTTTGATTTAAAAAGCCTACTTAAAAGAGCAAAAATCTTTTCCAAATGCAAGAAGCGAACTTGAAATTAGAAATTAAGAAGCGAACTTGAAATTAGAAATTAAGAAGCGAACTTGAAATTTCAAGTTAAACTTTAAATCTGAAGTTGACTAAAGTGTAATGTTAGAAACAAACTTGAATTGAATTCGTTCTTGAAAAATCTGATTTCATATCATTTTTTGAAGTTCGGTAAAACTAGTCTTGAAAGCAAACTTAAAATAAAAAAGCCAATCGCCATTATCATTTTGTAAATATCATATTTACAAAATATTTAATATGTGGTAAAAAGTTATATAGAATTTTTGTCAATTTACTAATTTCATAAGCGAATTACTTATGAATCATAATTTTTGTTCAATATAAATACATTTTACCAGTACAACAACTGCCTATTGTATGTCTGTTTTATGCTATTGGTTAATTTCAGCTTAGAAAGTATTTATATTATCACTATAATTATATTATCTTAACTATAATTATACCAAATTAAATATATACATGTACATATATATATATATATATATATATATATATATATATATATATATATATATATATATATATATATATATATATATATATATATATATATATATATATATTTTTTAATCTGCTTGTATTCAATGGACTAAATGTGTTCAAAGATCACAAGATTATACCCACTCAGCCAGGTTTTAGAAGCTCATCAGCATGTCCATGTTATTGGGGGTGTTGTCCCCAATAACATGGACATGCTGATGAGCTTCTAAATAATAGGGAGTGTTGCTGATGAGCAATACCCCCAATTATCTGCACAGGTGCGACATTGGAATATTGTTTTAAAAGTTGTTAGCAAATATTCCTTTACAAATAAAACCAAAAAATTTTATAGACATTATTGTATCTTGTTTTTTTTCTTTAAACAAGATCTTTAGGTATATGATTAAATGTAAAATTATAATATACCTTACTTCAAATATGAACTTCAGTGACTCATTTGGTCATTTGGTATATAAAAATAATGTAATTGTAAAATGCTGTATGTAATATGCTATTGAATATGCTATCTTTTTTATGAAGATTATGTGAAAATATCTTAAAATTATATAAATAAAAACCAAGTTTAAAAAAATGTATTAACCATTAATTAATGGTTAATATATTTTTTTAGAAAATTTTTTCATTTTAATTATAATAAATTTATTTTAATTATAAAATTATAATATACCTTACTTCAAATATGAACTTCAGTGACTCATTTGGTCATTTGGTGTATGATAATAATGTAATTGTAAAATGCTGTATGTAATATGCTATTGAAAGAGCAAGAAAAAAATTAAGTTTGTTTTGTATTAATAGTTGTATTTAAAAAATGTACTTATAACCTTTAAGTTTTTTGAAACTTTAATAGTTTTAATTCTAAAATTGCATTCAATAAATTTTTAAAATAGAATTAGAAAATTTTGTGGCAATTTTTGCAAAATGTTGTCTCTTGTTAGGATATTAGAGTTTCATTATGTCAGTTTCACCAGTCTTCTTTTCCTCTCTTTTACTTAAATTTGATAAATATATAGGTTTATTTAGCCGAAATTAATTGTTTATATTATAAACTTAATAAATGCAAAAAACTTTTCCTCTAATTCATAGTTTGAACCAAATAGTCACACTTTTCCTGTCACTTCAATGATACATGTCAGCTCAAACTGAGGGGCAACTTTTTGTAAAGCATCCTTATTTGAGTTTTAACTAAAGTTTAAACATATAGTTGTTTGGAGTTTGCTCCGTGTCCTGAGGTTAGCTATCTCAAAGACCATAAAATTTGATTTTATCGTTCAACTGCTGACTTGTTAACCGTTATAATAAAAAAAGCTTCTGTCGTACATTAGATGAAATCTGACTTGTGTAAACCAATTTTTTCTACTGATTTTGTTCTCTATCTCTATAAATATTATATTCGTCCTGGTATTGAAAACTGTTGTCATAGTTTTAATTAATTTTCTGCTAACTTCCAACGTAATTAGTGTTTGCTTGCAGCCTTGTTGGAGTTTTTTGTTTTTAGTAAAAATCTCAACAAAAAAAAGAATAATAAAAACCTTGTGTTTGGCATATATATTTTGCTGATAAACGCATAGCATATATGCCATTTAAATGCAAAGCAGCTGAATTATTTAAAAATATAGTTAGTTTTCCCTTTTCAAATACTCTGCCGCTATTACTTGCAGTTTTTTTTCCAATTTCGCCTTCAAATCAACGCCTTTTAAGTTTTCAAGTTTGACTTTATCAAACGTGTTCTTGAAATTCTCAAGTTTCGTTTACGCATTTGTGCAAGTTTTTTTTTTTTGAATTCTAGCTTGACAATACTTCAAAGTTCAAGTCGAACTTCACTCAAGTTCGCTTCTTGCATTTCACCCTAATGCAGTTCGCCATAAAAAAAAAAATCATGGTACAATAATTATTTATC